GCAACCAATTGATCAAATTCTATAAAAATTTTTTATTCGAATTCTAAAGGTCTGTAGAATTTAAATAAAAAAATTTTTCATAAATTTGATTAATTTGGATGCTAAAATATTTTCAATCAAAGTTATATAAACAATTTGGCGCAGTTTATATGTAATAGGCGTTTTAAAATTCTCTAAAACTTTGAATATATCTAAGCAACCAATTGATCAAATTTGATCAAATTTTTTTTATTCGAATTCTACAGATCTTTAGAATTTGAATAAAAAAATTTTCATCAAATTTGATTAATTGGTTGCCGAGATATCTTCGATCAAGTTTTTAAAATTTGTTTATTTAATAATGTGATAAAATTGAGGTGATTTATATGCAGGCAAATATCCATGGTAGAAATAGTAATTCACTTTATTTTTTATAAGGTTGTGATCTACCTTAAATTTTAAATTTTTTTTTGGTTACAAAGTATTTTATATTAATTTTATCTAAATAATTAGTAATTAGTAATTAGTAAAGATTAGTATAGTGCTAGATGCCTGCACGGGCCTGATACAGTAAATAATTTTTTTGCCGGCTCGCATTTTTTACTGTTATTAACATTCCAAACCCGCAATTTTACTATGTTTAAAAAATTTTCAATTTCGGCAGGCCTCTAATTAGTGCACTATTATAGTATAGTTTTACTTGTAACTTTATTTAATAAAAAAAAAATATATCGTTATTTAGTACTGTAATTGTATTTTTTCTAAAAATTTATTTATCAAATATAACAGATAAGCAAGACTAATAGAATAGTTACTAATGATTGGCCGCATGCACGTTGCAAGCAGATGGTCAGATAAACAAAATCAGACATTTTTCCGTTATTAGTTCTCCGAAGTAACGTGATGTCCCAAAACAAACGATAAATATGCGAAATCCATGTGATGCTAACTATCACTTGGTTTGGGATCCTGGGTCACATCCTAGTCCTCCGAATAATCTTTTAACACATTTTTTTATAGAAAAAAAAAAAAAATAGCACAGTTTTATCGAATTTACTAATTTACCCCCAACTTCTAATTGGCTGTACTAATTATTCACTTAGCGGAGTATTTATATTATTAATCAAATTTTATGTATTCCGATAGTGAAGTTGGGGGAGAAATTAGGGCACCCAGTTTTATCTTGTTTAACACACACATGTCGATTAAACGTTACTGTCGATATAAATGTTCATCTCAAAGTTATTAACATTCAACCTAAAGAAAGCTACGTTATCTAGAGATTGAAAAATTAAAAGCATTTTTTATTAATCAGACGGACCGACCAACAGATTATATCGCATCATTTAGTAAGAAATGAGGTAGGATTAGTTAGAAGTTGGATCTGTTGGTTGGTATTCCAAATTAACAGCTTATTATAAATTAGGGATAAACGATGTGCGTTGTAGGGCTTGAATGAGATCTGATCGAGCGATCAGTTTGAATGAAGTTTTTTTCTAAGCACAAATTATTAAGTGTTAATTAAAAATTAGGAATTTTTAATTATAACAATGATAAAACAATTTCTTAAATACGCACTAGTTATCGTAAATAACAGACAATTTTATCATGTGATATTATATGAGTTATACGTAGAGTATTTGATTTATATCGTGTACTACTTAAGTATAAAAAACATATCCGATATCGATCATATTGATTCACCTGCATCACCGATATATATTTTCTAGAGTTTTAACCCTTTAAAAAAAGTCTAATCATAACGTCTAAATCAGGCCAACCTTTAATCGTTGGGAAACGAAATACATTAACTCTAAATAAGGATAATCATTAGGCCAACATTAATTTCGGAAAACGAAATCCATCGTTCCGGTATCTGTTATTATCATACGTATAACTGTTATAATTATTATCCTACATATAAATTATTATAGGTCAATCCATCTTAAACATCAACAATTCTTCCTTACCATTTATGGTAAAAGTTTGTGCAATAGTCTATCCCAAAAAATTAAATCCGCCGATATATAATAGGAAGTGCTAAGACGTTAAAGGACACGAATTAAATAAGAAGTTCCGTCCGGGCCCTTCTTCGGACTGTTGACCAAAATTTATGGATTTAAGGCAACTATTCGAATATTTTGGATTCATATGACAAAGTTTTAAGAAATGATGTAAAGCGCTGATTAATGTACATCAAAAAATTTATTATTAGAAGATATTTTGACAAATTTAAATTCGACATAGAATTTCGGCGAGGCACACCAACGCTGACGCTAGTAAAAGTCAAAGGTGAGCTCCAAAGTATTTCCCTAATTAATTTAGTAACCAGTACTCGTACGTCATAAAGTTTAAATAAATTAGTACGGTGACATTTTTTTTCGTTATGATTATAAGGGGCAGTGTGAGGCTGGCGTAACACCACGAAGCCTCTAGCAGGTCAGGTCTCTTAAGATGAAATGTATAAAGCACATGTTGTCAGTTAATAAAAAAGGAGTTATCATCCCTCATGTTTCATTAATATTCGAATCCCGCCTGATTGAATAAGATGATATTGTGTGTTGCTCTTCTAATCAGTTTAACACTATATTATCGTTATATAAAATATTATATTAAAAATCAGTGGATATATGATTTCGCAATTGAGAAAATACTGTATAAACCGTCAGCGTAAGCGACGGGTCACACCTAGTATTTAATAATAAAATAAATTATAATATATATAAATTATAAAATTTTGTATAATGATAACGGAAATAAAAACAGGCTAAAAATTTTATACATATAATTAATATCATATTAATTTTAACTAATCTTTACTTTAGATAATATTACCTAGTATTATAGAATTGTTTAAAATTATATGCTAAAACTTTACTTAATTAATAGGCTAAAGCTAGTTTTTATAATAAAATTTTGTAATATTTATAATTTATTAAATTTGTTATATTAAGATTTTGTAATCTAATTCGGCTTTACTAAATCATACCACTGTTCTGAACACCATATCATAGAACAGCCAATCAAAATTTAAGATCAGGTGTAACATAAAATTTTGCTTTTTTTACTATAAAACCTTCTTTATTAATAAAAAAAAATTCCTTGCTAAATTTTGTATATACTAATGCTTAGATAAAATTCCAGACCTCATCCTAACCCTAAAGTAATCTAAATCATTTTTTGTTTTTATTATTTTTGTTACACAGATTTGTAAATCAAAATATTATCTATGGTGTTAAAGAGTTTACTAATTTTCCCCCACACTTCACTATCGGAGTACCATAAAATTGATTAATAGATACTCCGATATATGAATAATTAGTAGAACCAATCAGACGTGTGGGAAGAAATTAGTAAACTCGGTGTTAAACACCATAGGTGCGATTTATAAATGCAAATTATTAAATTTAATTTAATAAAAAATTATTTATATTTTTTATTATATTTATTTAGTATTGATTATAAAGATTTGTTAATTTAACAAATCGCTATATAGCAGTTCAATATGTAAAATTGTATATATTTAATTCATTTTTGTTACACGAGATCCTGTAATATAATTGGTCGATCATATTAACTAGTGTTCGAAATTTCAGTATAAGCTGTTATACATGACATGTTCAGAATCGGACCGACTATACTCATCTTTTATGTTTGTTTTGTCTACCTCGGAATTATCTATTCTTATCCTTAAAGATGCTTATAATACTGTCCACATCACTAATTTTATGAGAACACTATTATTATTTTACTTTTCAATAAATTTTTGATAGTAAATAGTAAAGATAAAAATAATAAGGGTATACAGTATTACTGTGCTTTTCAAATTACTGTGACCCCCGATGATCATCCATCACACGGGAAATCCAAAAATTTTAGAATAAATCTAAATAACTTATCAAGAAATAAAAATTCCAAAGATCCCCGGTTATATTTCATTTTACAATATTATCTCTACTAGTACACTACAGTAGTACTGGTAGTTAGTTTTGCAAAATAATACTGATCTTTGTTTTTGTTAGCGGGAATTTTGATAGTATTTTTTCAATACTAGTTACTAGTACTAGTATACTAATAGAAATATAACCGGGAATAAATTTTTTTTTTAATAATCTAATGAGAAATCGTAAAAAAAAAAAGATCTTTACTATAATGCTTGACTATGTTTTGACATTAAACACCTCAATACCAATTCGAAATTCGGACCAGATAACGATACGACTGTGCGATAATGAAACAACTGTTTAAAGTCTGCATGTGTTTACTTATCAATTATATACTTTACACCGTACAGATCCAATTCAGTATGATACTGTATATCAGATATATGATGTTGAGTGGCGCATGATTGCTACTATTTTCACCTAGTCAATATATTTGTTATTAATAAATAAATAAAATATTTGAATTTCTTGCTAAAGGGTCCTATGGTTTAGATGATCACTTCAGTTGAAGACGAATTATTCGAATCGTCACATACGTACAAATAACTTGTCACGTACCTTAGTTCATGTGAACGCTCGTGAGTATCTACATTATAGTAAATTAGAATAAAAATACAATTTAATTATATGCTTATACAAATTCTCCGACCAAAATTTGTTTGTAAAAGATGTACTGTACATGTCTTTAGAAAGAAAAAATACGCCTTATATATTTTGAGGTAGATATGCTCGTTTTTTAAAGATAAAAGCATTATAAAGAATGATAATCTGTCAATCATGTAATTCAAATGATGTGTATGCTCATCATAACCATGATAAATTTTTTCATGTCCTTTTTACAGTCTTCCGACCCGTTATAGTTTATCTTAAAATTGCATAAATTGACTTGTATGATGAGCATCGGCCAAAAGAATTTTGTAAACTGCGGTTATTAATTTATTATATGCTTTTGCTCACTGTCTAAAGATACGACTAATCCTTTATTAATTACTAATATCTCTTGGGATAGAGATAATAATATAGGCTTTTAGTTGTATCTTTAACTTTATCTGAGCATTTTATATCCTAAATTACATCATGTCGCAAGATGCACATCTTAATTTATGTTACCGTAATGACGCCAACAAAATAGTTGAGCAAGAACTCGTAATTATCTTGGAGAATGGAACGGAACCAACGCCAGTACGAGCAATTCGCAGACCTGAACCAAAATTGCATTCTCCTGTACACGTACCTTTCCCTCCGGCCATAAACGCTGCCTCTTTAATTCGGATCAATAAGGAAGGTGCATTACTTGCAAGATGTACGAATAAGTTTTTAATTTATCGTAATCAATTTGCGAAAGAGGTTAGGACGCAAGGTTACAACCTTTCCATGAGTGAAGTATCTTGTTTAGCGGCCCAAGCATGGAAACGTGAACCCAATCACGTCATTAGGAAATATAGTGATATCGCCCAAGAAGTTAAATGGTTGCATAAGCAATTGTCTAGGTCGGGTTCCAAAAAGGGGAAGAAGACTTCGAATTCATTAATGTTTTCAGACTCTTCATTATTAGACTCTCAGACGAAAAAAATTAAAAGTAAAAATAAACAAGATCAATTAACGCGTTTTTCAACAGTCATTTCAAATGTATGCCACAATCAACATGTACATGATTATTCACAGCAAGAATACCATCAAAAATTATCACCAACTCCTTTAACACCAGATTACTATTCATCTACATCTTCGTACCCTTCACCATCGGAGCAATATTCGGTAAAAATAGGCGACGTGATTAATGATGGTTCAGTATCTGAAAACTACCAATACAACAATTTGGCCCTGCCTTTTATGGATATGACCAATTATTGCACAGACCAATTTGCGATGGCAAACGATTGGATTTATTTACAATATTTACAAGACATTTAGTAATTTTTTAATTTTATAATTTATCTTCTATATTTTTCAATAATCTAATTATTTGCACAAACGGTTTTAATTACTTTCTTAATGAAATGGTTGGTACTCCTTGGCAAAGCCAATATATAAGAAATTGCATAGCTTTTTTTTTTCTTAGCTTGCGCATTAATACTCAACTGTATAATAAATACATATTGTATACTTTCAATATATAAATTTTGTTTAATTTTTACATAAATTGTATTAGTATGTGTAGTATTCTTTTACATAATACTGTAACTTTTTTCTTTAAAAATTTTATTATTGAAATAAAATAAATTTTATGATTTCAAGAAAATTTTAACCAATTGATTAATTGATTTAAGTTATATCGATATCTTTTTTTTTTTTTTTTTTTTTTTTTTTTTTTACAAATTACATATTTAGGTTATTGCATTACAGTTTTTTATTTGTAGTGAAGTCTTTCATACCACACATCTTAATCTATTTACCCCACGGTGTAAGATTCTAAAGAGTTTGTAGTTCTCTTTTCTACAGTAACTTTTTTATTTTTTATTATTACAGACTTGGGGCCGTTCTGCAGATATATGCAGGCTAGACTAGTAGAAAGTAAAATTTTGTCACTCTATCAACATCAAAAGCAAACAACAAAACTACGAAATGGTTATATTGTCCCGTCGCTATACGTGGTAACACCAAGCATCGTTCCTTCTATTTATCCTTCTTTATTTCACTTTTACTCTCGTGCGATGCATATATTTACTATCTCTACACGATATCCGGTCTGTACGGCGGGTTATCCTGCTACCATCTTGTATCAACTTGTCCAGCCGGGCTACCACATTTTGCCTGTCAGAACCTCCTTCTTACTAACTTTGATGGGTGTGTGGTATTAACGAAAGCTAGAATTGTGTGTGTCGAGCTTGCAGCAAAGACAAAAGAGAAGTAACAAGAATCCATTTCTTTCCCTTTTATCCATGATCTCAACTTACCAAAATATCTTTGATTACTTTCATACATTCCACTAATTACTATACTAATTTAATTTAATCCACGTCACTGATCCAGAGACACGGCAAAATTTGAAACCAAATTTTCCCAAGTAAATCCAAATATTCAGACCTTTTCCAAACAAATCCAATTTTCCAAACTTTCATAAAATAATTGTTTTTTATTGGTTGTTAAATTTCGATTTTTGCTTGAGAAAATATTAGAAAAATTTTTTTGCATCTCAACTAGACTTTTCTGCTTTCGAAAATTTGATCAGCAACGTATAGACCAGTTGAATAAAAATAGGGTCACCAATTCGACCGATAAACTATCAACTAAAAAAAAATCACAGTCTGTTTCTTGCAGCAATCAAGTAGGATTGGAAATTTACTGTATTTTTATGTATTTTTACGTAATTTTAAGTGAGTTTCAGTAACTCGGCGTTTCATGTTTGAACACATGATGATTTTACGTCCCTAGTTTTTATAACGATTGAGCTGCAATGCGAATCGAGTATTCGATACAACAATGCTGGCTTTACCTATCACATGGGAAATTACATGTTAAAGTGCCGAAAACGAAATGTCGGGTCATGTGATTTCTGATATCTCCTATGGGAAAGTCTCCGGAGCAAAAGTTTCAACATTGATAGGCCAGCGGTTACATTCTACGATGTACTCAATAACTACTTGACCAAATTCGATGAATTTTTTTTTGTTTTAATTCTATGGATATATGGAATTCAAATAAAAAAAAATTCATCGATTTTGATCGGGCGGTTGTTGAGA